TTCGGGCACTGATTCGATGACAGAATACCAGCGTCTTTTTAGGCCTGATGCAATGATGCCGATAATGCCAAAAACAAGGTAAACACGCAAAAACAACCTCGTTGAGGCATGGTTTAGCACTTTATGGTTGCAATTAGTGTCGAAACATGTGAACCCAGAGTAATTTGTATCAGCTATCGTCAGTTTGTGGTTGTGATAACAGCAGGCGGCAACAGGATAGATCGAAATGCCTGATTACATATCTTTAGGAACCGGTATAGTCAGGGTGAAGGAGGGGAGGGGCGGGGGAAGGCGGAAAGGATTCGTATCACAGTCGAAGAACGCGCGTACACGCACGCCCATGTTAAAATCCTCTATGCTGATCGACCAGTCGGGAGGGTGGAGATCTGTAGGCGTACGCAGCAGTGCCGGAGCACTTGTAGGCGGCCGATTTCTGCTGAGACGCGGACTGCGACTGCATGAGCAGGGGCTCTGTCATGCAGGTGCAGAGAGCGCACTGAGATTGTGGCGCCGCCGACTGACCGGCTGCCTTTTGTGACGCGGAGGAGGCGGAACTGAGATCGGACTCGATCCGCTTCACGCCACCAGCACCGCCTCCTGCTGTGCAGGAGGGTTTTTGCGGTCTCTGCAGTTCCTGCTGCTTTGAAAGTACCTCCTCCAGTCGGATGCGATCCATCTCTGCGGCCTCGAGGATACACTCCTGCAGATCGTCCACCAGGCGCATCCGGTCGGCGATGGTTTTGGTGTTGAGACAGGCTACGGGCGGCGACGACGACGACGAGCTCCGTCCACTGGCCGCTGTCGCCGGAGAGGGTGATTTCTTGTCCGGTGCGGATGACAACGCCCGCTCGAAGGGCAAACAACTGCCGGCGCTGTCGGAGGCGGCAGCGGTGGCCGTGGAAGTGACGCTCTTGTAGAGCGCTATACCGTTCGGGTAGGCAGCCGTCTCGAAGGTGCTGACACGTAGGCCCAGCAGGTTGACACAGGCTCGCACTTGATAGACGTAGGGGGCGTCTTTACGACGCTTCTGGAAGGCTTTAGTTACTAGAAGGAGGTCGTTGAAGAGGAAGATCTCCCGTTCATGAGCGCCTGCACGGTCGCGTTTATTTCTGTCGGGGACCTTTGGAGAAGAGGACAGGAAAGGGGGGTTAAAGCTAGTCGAGTCGCACAGAACGAATGCGTAGGTAGGCAAATTATGGACTGAAGTACGGAAGGCGTGGTTTTTGACTGTCTGTGAATGGTTCTTTGTAAAACCACAATGTCAAATGAGAAGAGTCGATCGACAGTAGACGTAGACGACTGACAGGAAGCAGGACAAGCGGGACGTGGTGGAAAGGTCGAAAACTGTATTGGATAGGTTACAGAAACGTCATTGTATCAACAAGTCCGATAGTACATCCCCATGGGCTGCTTCGTCTGAGGGTGATCTCGACTCATCCGCTCACGATGACAGTAACACCG